AAAATTTGTTGAAACGGGACATTTTCAACTTGGTGTAAATTTTTTATATTTAATGGGAAACTAAGAACTCATGAACACTCATTTGCTTTCCAGTTTGATCGTAAGATAATTTGGTCACAAAATTGAAAAAAGAAATTGACCTGCAATAATATTAAACCGTTTGGCGTGATCTCCGTCCCAACATGTCAAAATAACAAGGTTATCCAGGCCATGTGGCCTAATATTTTTGTAGGCCATTCTTTTTCTTGACTTTTTGGTCTAATTATCTTACTTTTCATGTAGAAACGAAATGGGTATAAATGGTTTTCATTTAACATCAGGAAATTCATAAGTAATTATATATAATTGAAAAATTATTTCAGCATTTTAAATATTGTAATATCTAGAATTATAATTAACATCTTGTCGTATATTAATTTATCTATATCGAAACATATTTATTGAACCATGTATATTTTGCAATTTTAAATTGTTTTTTAAGCCTTAATCTCGATCAATCTCCGCTGGCTTTGATACCAGTGATCCGGTTGAGAGAGTAGCGCAGGGTTCTCCTGAAGTCCTGCTTTTCCCTCCATTAGTGTTACCCAAAAACGGTCTTGGTCTTGCATTTTTCAAGACCGAGACTAATACCACCTAACTATTGCAAGACCAAGACCAAGTCTCACCAAAAAATTTTATTTATTGTATATACTTGGTGATTAAGGCTGATCTGAAGGGACTGGGTTTGGACGGCGAACGGTGGAGGGAGGTGTGTAACAAGCGATTGGTGGTGTCGGCATCGAACCTTCGGGTTCGCTAAGCCTTATTATTATTATTATATTATTATTATTATATACTTGTTGATTAGTATTTATTGTTATTTTTCTACTATTCATTTCCTATTTTTTCGTACATATAGTGTGAATGTTATCCTACCTCATTACAACTAATGTCCAAGTAAAAGATTTTTTTATACTCTATGGTATATACTATGGTAAAAAAATCTTTACCATATAAATCCGAACATTAGTCAATATATACTGAATCATATCTTTTTTACAATATCGGTAAATTTTTAGCAGTATTATTTCAAATAGACCAATGCACTGTATCGAAAGGCATAAGAGAGGGATAAAGTGGTGTAGTATATATCCGTTTTAGGACCTCTAGAAAACCATTATGAGGATTTGAATGATTTACGATATATTTACTTATATATTGTTTTCTTTCTAGAATCTCGACTGTTAAATAATGTATATGTTTTATGTTTCAGCCTTAATAAATTCCTTTATATCTTATTTTTCAAAGAATTTCAAAGAACAATACGCCTTATTGTAGTGAAAACTTAAGTGTTTATTGCACTTTTTTGAGTGGAGTGAATTAGATTGGGCCGTCAAATTGCCGATAACGCTCGGGTAAAATCGGCTGGAGTCGACTGATTATTTTTGTATATGGATTAAAATATCTCTAAAACGAAAAATTGGACCTGTATATTGTTAACAAAAGAAATATTCATCATTTCATTATCTCTGTAATGAACTATTACTTAGTTCTTTCTTAGCGCGAGGCCGTGTCAGAGCGACGAAAAGGGGAATAAATAGTGACATAAACCAAATTATGACGAGTTTTACTAAAGATGTGGATTAAAATATCTCAGAAATTAAAAATCGGATCTGCATACTGTAAGCGAGGAAATTGTTCAGCATTTCTCCCTCTCTATAATGAGCTATTATTTATAATTGATATTTAATATCAATAATAATTTTATTTTTGAAGTTTTTTATTTATTAACTTTTTTATTTTTTAAAGACTTCTGTATTTATTTATGTGATCCGATTCGTTACCCTAATGAATCGTGAATTGGTGAACCATTAGCTGGCAATTATTTGATTTGTTTAAATATTTAATAGTTGACTGTTGCATTATAAAGGAAGAAGATGGTCCAGAGTGGTGGTCATAAATAGGCTAAATAGTGGCAAAACTATTTTATTAAAAACCAACGTTTCGACTCGACTTTGGAATTCTTCTTCACGGCTAGAACGGACAAGATACAAAAAGATAGAGAATTGTGGAAATTACATAATTTTTAGACAAAAAATTATTAACAATGTGAATAAACTTTTTAAAATTATAAACAGTAAGTACATTAAAATATAAAAAGAGTTAGGTAAGTAACAAGATCCTAAACTGAAGTAAATAGATGGTAACAATTGTTGTAGTGTAATATATAATGTATGCAAATGTGAATATACTTCTACAGATCTACTGGAGAGATTGAAAGAAAAGGAAAAAATATATAATATGAAATAATAGGCTTAAAGGAATTTGGAGATTTTTTGTAATGATATGCACTGTATATGCATTTATTTTATTATCACAATATATGCCAGAAAGATTACAAATATAAAAATAATTCAAGAGACTCGATCTGTTATATTTTGTAGTATGTGTTATATCTAACTTGTTAACGTAAAGATGGAATCAGAGAAGAAGACTTAGAAAAAACTTTTTAAAAAAAGAAGCTACGAACCGAGCTCTTCGGAGGATTATCTTGTTCTAGAAGTTTCCAATAGCCACTGTTGTGATAGCACACCTTCTAATGAAGAGAACTATGTTGTATTTTTTTGTATTTATATATTTATTTTCTTTTTATTTTGTGGAGGAAAGAGAGTGGTGAAAGTAGAAGACCTCCTCAGAGACATGAATATACGGCCGATCTTATATAGTGTCTGTCAGGCGAGGGTATCTATTAATCACGGTTTAACCATCTACAGTCTTTGACCATTTATTAACTATCAGATTTTAGTCCATCTGTTGTGATAAATTAATAAATATATTACTAAAATTTATTTTACTAAAACAGTTAATTGATAACTTTTATCTAGGATGAATAATAAAAATAATAAATTTATTTTACCAGAACCTTACGTATCATACAAATCCTCTTACACAATCCCTATCAACCACTACCCATCCCTATAATCCTCCAAGAAGGTTGGAACGGCAGTGGCCTCGCGACCTTTTGTAGATTGTATATATTGGAGTTCTAGCTATGGCAAGATTCTCCAGTCAAGACATAAATGAATGTGGCTAAAGTGCTCTCAATCAATCTCCACTGGCTTTAGTACCAGTGATGCGGTTGAGAGAGTAGCGCAGGGTTCTCCTGGAGTTCCCTTTCTTGGTTGTAAATGGTGTGTCTAGATTCGCATGTGTTTTTTTCTTAGTTTTAATATTCTTATTTTTTAGGTTATTTTATTTTATTATTTATTGTATATACTTTTCATTATTATTTTGCTTCTATTTATTTTATATTTTTTGTTGATATAGTGTGAATGTTATCCTACTTCACTATAACTAATGTCCAAGAGACAAATTGTTGTAATACTCAAGATATTGTAAAATCTATCAAAAATACTGACTACGCATAAGAGAATAAAAAGTTCACATTATGTGAAAAAGATGGATGAGCAAATATATCAATATATAAAAATATGATACATCAATGTATCAACATAATACATTTGCTCATTTATCTTTTTACATTATTTTAACTTTTTATTCTCTTATTTGTAGTCAATATTTTTTATAGATTTTACAATGTCTTAATTTTCTATTTATATCTATTATTTCCTTATAGAAGGATATTAAAGTTAGGCTGAAGGCGGGAAACGCTTGTTATTTTTCTTTGTCAAAATTACTTAGTTCTCGCACCTTGTCCCGAAACATAAAAATTAGAATTTACAAAACCATTATCCTGCCTACGGTTCTATATAGATGCGAAACGTGGCCGCTTACATTAAGGGATTAGCAACGTCTTAAAGTTTTTGAAAATAAAGTATTGCGCAGAATATTCGGACCGAAAAAGCACGAGTCAACCGGAGAATTTAGGCGGTTACACAACGCTGAATTGCTTGAACTGTATCCGGTTAATATAATTGAGGCGAATAAAACGGACGAATATGCGCTGTGCCGACTGGCAAGCGTCAGGGACCTGATGCATTGTCCATTAATGATAATAGTTTTATCCTATTATTTGGCCATTATCCTTTATAGCAATTGACATCAAGAATAAAGTGGAGATATAATAACTATTTCCTAGTTCCTGAAAATCTTTTTGACGAAAGTTAGAAAAATACAAGCTATTTCCAAAAATTAAGATAAAACATTGTGAAAATGATAAATATCTGGTGGAAAAAATAAAAGAACACTGAAAAATATAATACACAACAGTTAAAGATATTTTTTTTTATATAAGTAAAATGTGTAGTTTTAATTTTTTTTTTAATTTATTACTTACTTAATTATTTTTAAAAAATAGCTGATGATCGTTTATAAATATATAAATTAAAGTTATGAAAAACTATTTATGTAAATGTAAATTGCTTGTGAGGCCTAGGTAAATTAATCTAATAGTTAGGTTAACACTTCAACCTCAACCTCTCCTCCACTTCTCGTGAATGAAGTTTTGATTTTGAAAAAAATCAGTCAATCCCGTCAATCGATACGTCAATCATAACTTTGCAAGATCAATCAGAATGTCAATAATTCTTCGGAATGTCATTCAGAATGACCGTATAGGGTTCTCGTAAGTCTACTTGTCAAATTCTGAAATAGTGTTTCTGTTACCGGTCTTTATAAGTGGATTAGGATGTCCAACGAATGAATCATGATAAATGTTTTAATATTTCTTAATTATGTCCATCACATGCGGTATTTATGCAGGTCTTGATTGATTGGTTACCTAGAAGAAGCAGTGGGTGATATACCGGATAAATTAAGTATGGAAAATTTGAATAATCTGTAATTATGATGTTTTTCATGAGTACGATAGTTTACTTTTCATTCAAGTTTGTTTACCGTTTCGGATTAGCGGAGTGTTTGGATTATTGAAGTTCGGATTACTGACAATGCACTCACACAATTGCACTTATACTTATTATTATATTATACTTTATATACCAATTTATTTATTATATTTATAACTTTTCTTCTTTATTTGCAGGTGATGTCAATATTATAAGAATAATGCTGATTTCTTTCTTTTCTACCTCTTCTATGTGAAGTAAGTAAAACAAAATAATTATACGATTTTAAACTTAAAACGACAGTAATATACATAAAATATGTGTGGAAAATGATTATTTTGCGCTCCTCAATACTTTATTACTTTATTTTCAATAATCTTAAGACGCTGCTCATCCCTTAATGTAAGCGGCCAAGTTTCGCATCCATAAAGAACTGTAGGTAAGATAATGGTTTTATAAATTCTAATTTTTAAGTTCCGGGACAAGAGCTAAGTAGTTTTGTTATAGAAAAATAACAAGCATTTCCCGCCTTCTGTCTAACCTTAATCTCTTCTTCAATTTCGTTTTTTCTATTTATCGTAGAACCTAGATACCTAAACTTCTCTACCGGTTCAAACATATTACCATCTATATCGATATCACCAGTAGTATCGCCATTATTATATATGGACTATTATATAATAGGTATATAATTTTCAGTTTGCCTATAAACATACGAAGTAAAATTGCAATACAATCGGGACAGAGTTGTTAAGAAAGCGAGACAAACAGAGTTGGTGAAGGCAGTGCACTTTTTATTCATGTCTCCGAGGCCTGGCTACATTATTCAGTGGACCTCTTCTCCCCTCGACACATCGCCATGCTTCTCTTTCAATTTATTTATACCAACATCACCTTCTTATTATTTTTCTAATTTATATTTATTAATAATAGTGTAATTTATTTGTATGTATATTTAAAATAGTGTGTTCACTAATTCGACTTTCTTTGCCGTCTATGAGTATGATTGACAGAAGCCATCTTGGCATTGATTTGAAAAATTTAAATAATCCGTGGCACAGTCCCCTTTTTGCCAAATTATTAACATCCAGCTGAAACTTCGAAAAAAGATGCTTCTCATCAAAACCTAAAAATATTTTATTTACGAAAATTCTTTGAATTGGGGCGTTGTCAATCTGGAGTTCGGCAAACTTTGTCTATTTAATTAGGTAGTATAAACTAGTAAATACCCATTTGCATTCCACTTGAGTCGTAAGATAATTTGATCAAAAAATTGAAAAAAAAAAAGGTGGCCTAAATACTGGCCTATTTATCCTATATAACCTCGTTATTTTTAAAATTTGGGGATGTAGGTCACGCAAACGGCTCAATATTTTTAAAGGCCACCTTTTTTCTGGCGACATCTATATAAAGTAATATATTTGAACAGGTAGAGAAATTTGGGTATCTAGGATCTATGATAACTCTAAAAAACAAAATTGAAGAGGAGATTAAGCTTAGGCTGAAGGCGGAAAATTCTTGTTATTTTTCTGTGACAAAATTACTTGGCTCGCGCCTCCTGTCCCGGAACTTAAAAATAAGGATCTATAAAACCATTATCTACGATTCTTTATGGATGAGAAACATGAACCTTCAAAAATATCGAGCCGTTTGGCGTGACCTACACCCCCAAATTGTCAAAATAATAAGGTTATATATACCAAACGGCCTAATATTTTTGTAGGCCACCTTTTTTTTTATCAATTTTGTGATCAAATGCAATCAGATGAAGCTATTTACGAAGTTTCAGCCGGATATTAATCATTTGATAAATAGGGGTATGTACCACGGACTCTAACTCCATCTCTCTATTACATAATAAAAGTTGTTCGTGAATTTCATACTTTATTTTATTTTAGTACGAGATTACAGGAGCTCTCTTATTAGCTCAATAATTAGTACTGGTTATAGAGCTGTTCATTTAATTACGTATGTGTTGAGCTCCTGTAACCGTCTTCTATTCTAATACAAAATAGGGATTTACACCCTGGTGTCTTATTGTAAAAGATTTTAGACCAAAACTTTGTGTTAAAAAATTGTATTCATCTGGAGGTGGTTTTTTGATTTTACCTAAATGACAGCAGTTATTTTTCGATCTAGACATATTCCCCTTGAATACAATATATTGATTACAATATACTATGGATTATGATTATAATCCAATATTATATTATATTTTATATAATTACAATTATTTTCAAATAGAAAACGAATCACAATATAACGTACAATGAAAATTTTAGAAATAAAAGACTCAAATTGATGTTGGGATTATATGAAGCTAGACAAGTTGAATATATATTATAGTTACAAATTAACAATAAAGCGCGATGTATCAAATAGATTTTGAAAGAGATTGGAAATTTGACCGACTGTGTTTCGTTCAGTTTATTTTATGTTGATACAAAATTACACAATATGAACTATAGAATACATATAAATTAAAGTTAAACGATTCGAGCAACGATTAGAACAGTTGTATGATTGGATGTTGGTCCGAAAATATTTGTTGGAATTTGAATTTAATATGTACAAAATTAAAGAACAACATAGATTTTGATATTTTCATTTTTCAGGCTAAAATGTCATTAAAAAAATGCCCAACTTCCTACGATCTATAATTGTTATTTTCTTTTTTTCTTTCATAGTATATTAATTTATTGTACATTTACAGTACTTCGCCATATTTTGTTAGTTAAAAATATGGCACGGATATACGTATGAAAAGAAAAAAACAAAGGATTTCTTTAATCGTTTAACTTGATATTTTTCTTTTCTCTTTAAATATTTATCCGCACCTGTCATGGTATTGACAATCAGCAGATGTGTTGTGATGATAAGTATTGACATTATAGGCATGAGAAAGATTAGTACCCAGCAGCACCTCTTCCTGGTCATTACTTTGATTTAGGCGAGGAGATCTCTGATCCAGCTCCTTTTTAGTCTCCTCCTGATGGACATGTCGTTTGTAAGTCTGTTTGTGCGTCCGTGTAGTTTGAGATGAAAACGAGAGTAGAGAGGACGTATGTGTTGGTCTATAGTTGGCTGTCGTAAGCCTTTATATAAAGTTCTGCTGTTGACTTACCAGGGAGCTCTAGTATAAGTCGTAAAATATTGGATTTAAATAACTGTAGCTTTTGCCGAACCGTAAATCTGAGAGGCAATTGTACGTATTTATTTTTTGCCGAATTAATTTGATAAATCATTTTAGAAAAGATGTATTTATATTTTTATGCCTCCTTTCTGGAAAGAAGTCCTCTTTGAAAAAAAAAATTGGAATTAATTAAAAACTATATATCTCAAAATATTTGATACTCATTTGAAAGAAAGTTATCAAATATTTTACAAATCTTAAATTCACATAGGCATAAATTAATCTCAATTTTTAAGAGTCATGTAACATTACACAAAAAATATTTTTCTTAATCTCAAAGACATTGTTTATATCCTAATATGGCTCTGAATATAAAAAATAAACGAAAATTTGGAGCAGAGAATATCGGGCTTGGCCCGAGCTGGACAGAAACAGATGGTCCATGAGAAGGGCATTTATTATATGTAAGAGAAAGGTGGGGTAAAGCAAGTGTACACAACACCACTGCCAGATATGGCGCCCCCTCCAATAAAATTATTGGTGAGACAGACCTTGGCTCCGTTCCAGAAAAAACCGCCCCCCCCCCGAAAGGAAGAGACCCATTGGAGTTGTTCGAACTAGATCCTTAGCTGCCCTCGATGTCTGCCTCTCGTCATAGGGATGTATCCATACTTATTGGTAATAGTCCTTCAATAATCCTGTATTGGCTTTGACATAAAGAAGTCCTGTAGCGTATAAGAAATATTACTTAGGCGTTATATCTTCATATATACAGGGCAAAGAAATTTTTTGTAGGAGTAGTAACAGACTTCAAGAGCTAAAAAAAAAAAAAAAAAATATCTGGTGCGTTACGCGCATTACATAACTTTCACTTACCACCCTCTACTTAGCAAAAATAATAAAATAAGCGTGGGGTTCTGCTAAAACTTTTAATATTAAAAAAAAATCCAGTCTTTCCAATCCAATATTTTACGAAGAATAGTTGATGCACCATTTTATGTCGCAAACGATAGATTACATACGGACATCCCAACAATTTCAGACACTGCAAAAGAAAACTACAATAACTTCCACCAAAGACTAACTTACAACACAAATCCTCTGACAGAAAAAATTAAAAGCACTAGAAACCCGTACAGCCCACCTCGACGATTACATAGGCGGTGTCCAAGAGACCTGCTGAACTGAACTATTTCCTGGATTGTAATGGAACGCTGTGAAGCTTCCAAAAATTTTGCTCGTTGCAAAGAAATTTGCAGATCGCAAATTAAATTTTTTATGTTAATAAATAATAAAATAATAATTAATATTTCATTGTGGGTATTTTTATTTGTATAAGTAACCTTATATATACAAATTTTAATATTTATATAGGTGTAATTTATACAATTAAATATTAAATAATACCAACAATCGCATTTATGAAAATTGCATATGTATATTGTCAGAGTTCGTATCATTTTAAGCTCAAGTTACATAGTGAAGTTTGTTCTAATTTTTTGGGCGAGTTAGGGTATGCAGCTCGTATTCCTTTAATTTCTCAATTAAAACTACAATATCTTATTTCTCGTCTAGTTTATTGCTGAATTCTTTCATATTTTTTTTTTAACTGTCTATTATATTACAGATTAATGTAAAATGGTTTCAAATAGAAAAAATAAAATAAAAAAGGTACTTTAGAGGGAGCTAATATTGAAAATTAGCCATTTAAGCTCTGTTAGCGGCAAAGTAAGTCGAATTAGTGAATACAGCATTTTAAATATACATGTGAATTTTACCTTAAGATGTGGATAAAAATTATGTGATTTTTACGCAAGTAAAGTAAAAGTACTCGTGTTTTTAGCAAAACTGATTACATTTAATTGTTGTAAAATTTTTATTTCTTATTTTACCATGATTTGGGATGTATTATAATAAAAAATAATAAATAAGCGTGAATAATTTATGATTTTATATAAGAGGACTCTTACTAATGAATAAAAAAAAATTAATATATAATTTAATTTTTTTAGATAAAAACATTTTTCAAAGTCTCTTACGGAACCTCAAAATTTAAATATTTAAAAAACCGAGATTTTATGATGTTTTAGTGACTTAGAAAGGCAAATTTTTAGAGGTATTAGA